CAGGGCAGGGCAGAGGCAGCCAGTCAGGGCTGGGTTAGGTCCTATATAAAGAGGGAAAAGCAGTCTCTCCCTGACTGCCAATGGAAGAGGACTGGCTCCTGGGTTGAAAGGTAGCACCTTGGACAGAGCAGTGCTGGGGAAGGGCAGGAGGAGCTGGGGAGCTCCAACCAAGGAAAACCCCAGGCTGAAGACCTTGCTACAAAGGGCTGAGCAGGTGCGCAGGGATAAAGTCTGACAAGGGGAGAAAAGGAGGGTAGGGAGGCTGCTGCTAGTGGGTCCCTGGGTTAGGACCCAGAATAGTGGGTGGGCCTGGGTCCTCCCCTTGTACTACACCTGGCTGAGGAGGACTGTGGCCTGATACAGGCTGTGGCTGGCCCATGTGACAAAGGGTCTAGACTTTGAGGCTACAGCCGGCCATTAGAACAGGTGCAGATGAAGGACTGCTGATAGCATCAGATCCCCAGAAGGGGGTGAGACCAGAGCAGTGGACACTACCAAGCAGGGAGCAATGCGGGTCCGGACACCAACAGGGGAACAGATGACGGACAGGACACCACCGTCAGAGGACAGAACTAATTCTCAGATGTGCCAGCGGGAGGTGCTGCGGTGGTGAGTCCCGACACTGTCACAGGTATAGGGGCATCATGGATATTCCCCCTTCCTCTGGACATGCCCCATTTTTCTTGCTTCTGGGAATGGCATAAGAGTGTATTTGAACTCTTTGCAACTGGAACATCACTCTTGCAATGGGCCAATCCTCATAGAACCAGATGAACCCCATGAGAGGTTATGTAACACACTACTCAAAGTGATTTTAGTTCTTAACTATTCAGGGTGAAATCCTAGTTCCACTGAAGTCAATTGGAAAGCTCCCATTGATTTCATTAGGGCCAGGATTTCAACCTTTATGCATATATAGTTTGTGGTGAGGGCACAAAGATCCCTGGCACGAAAAGGTTCAATTTCCTCATCTATGTAAAATAACTTATTGTTATGGTTTCCATAGGTACTCAGGACCTACAGTTTCCATTACTTCAATGGATTTTCAGGTGCTCACCACTCCTGAAAATTGTGCCAAAATATATATTTTCCCTCTGCATGATTCTTCCTTCAGATTTCTTTCTTTCAGAAAATGAATGAATAAATATAAATAGCCATGACAACATAGAGCATTTCTCTTGCTTTACAGGAAAAACATCAGTGGAGTTCTGGAGTCAAGGCCTTGGAAGTGGTACAAAATGAAAACCTGATGTTTGCAAACTCCAGTGTGGATCCCCACCCAATTCTAGATACCAAATTCATTAAATCTCTTTATGAAAATTTAACTCTTTTGCATAACAGGTAACTTGTTTTCCTGGTCAAAACATTTTATTTATAGATTTATATTGTATAATGTTAGATTTATAAAAAATTCTAAATTGCTTATCCATATTCTCTATATGATATAATTTACAGACACACACATCCTAAATATAGCTGTACAATTTGAAATATTTGACCACCAATAGCACAGGCAGCTTAAAAACTCAAACCCCACTTTCCCTTCAAACAATTACCTACCCTTACAATTCCACCAGCATCTTGGACTTTGTAATATGTCCTGAAGATCATCAGCTTTGGGCTATTTTGGATGAAAGGGGAAGCTAATTCCAAAGCTGTGGAGCTCTCAAAACAACATTGCAGCTAGTCCTTCTCATTTATGCCAATGGGATTCCAGCTCAAGCTCTTCTGGGTTCAATTGTGATGCTAAGGCACAGGTAGAGAAGTGAGCTTTCAGGCATAAGCAAAGGTTTCCTTAGCATTCCCATACACTCCTAGAAGTGTATTAGTGGAAAGAAATCACTCTGTCTCTGCACTGACCAAAGGTAATGAGAACAGTCATTTATTTACAAAAGCAAACTACGGATTGTGGACTGACCATAGGTGCCAACTCCATGGGTGTTGAAGCACCCACAGAAAAAAATAATTGGTGTTCAACACCCACCAGCAGCCCCTACCAATCAGCACCGTTTTCATACACCCCCCCACCACAAACGCCTCCAGCCAACCGCTGATCAGCTGTGCAGGAGGTACTGAGAGGGAGGAGTGTGGGCAGTAGTGGAGTGAGTGTGGGACGTGCTCAGGGGAGGAGGTGCAATGGAATGGGAAGAGGTGAGGCAAGTGGTGGGGCTTTGGGGAAGGGGTGGAGTGGGGACGGGGTCTGGGGCAGAACGGGGGTCGAGTACCCTCGGGGAAATCGGAAACTCTGTGCGTGTGGGAGTGACAGTGAACAACAGAGAACATGGGGATAGTCTGAGAGGGGGCTGTATTTTCAGATACTACGCTACATTAAATACAGTTACAAATACATTAAATACTTTCCTTACACTGCTTTTTCATGTAAACAATTGCTGTGGTTGCCACAAGGATGTTATGCAGTGTGACTGTGAGGGAAAGTGGCCCACATGGGGTCCCCTGTGAGAACAAAATGTGGCATTATTAATCAAATAATATCAACAGTTTATCTTTGATTTAAGAACTGATCATTCAGTATGAAGGAAGTTATGCCACATTATTTTCCTCCAGCTTCTATTTAACAATGGCAACTAGAATGAATGATATCTCCCAGTCTGTCTTGCCAGCTGGAAGCCAACAATGGCCATGTCATGAGCTTCCCAAAACTGAGTGAAGAAAGGAGCTGTAACTCACCCTCCTGCAGAAATTCCAATCTTGGATTCTAAAATCATGGCCAGCAGGATGGCCTGGTATCCCAGCTCCTGCTTGCCTGAGGTCACTGCTTCTCCCCTCAGTGACAATGACCACTGTGAAGGGATGATACAATGGATTATGACTAAGAGTAATAGGGTGAAGTTGAGAGAGAAAATTGGACTGAATTTCCTGACAGTGAGATCTGTTAGACTGAAATAGTCCAATTCTTCAAAGGAAGTAGTGGAAGCTCCATCATCTGGAACATTTAAAATTAGACCGGATAATGAGCTTGTGAAATGTAGTGTATGAAACAATCCTGTATTAGCAGCTGATAGGCTACATGTCCCAGAAGTTCTTTTCAATCTCCAATTTATGATTTTATGGAGGCTCTAGAGATATTGTATAGATACATTTATACCCACAGAAATGAATACATATTTCACTGTAGATTTTGGTGGAATAAAATATGTGCAAGTGTCAAATTTAAAATGGAGGGCTGTGAAAGGAAAATGTGCTGAATGCTTTTTTTTTTTAAAGAATTTGTATTAAATATACTAAATAGGAATATATCTTGCAGGAGTTGAAACTACTATGAGGCACAGTAAAAAAAAATCAGGAAGCACATAAAACAAGAAATACAAGTGATGGGAATGGTGCCAGGCCAGACACATTTTATATGGTCACAAGTTAAAAACATCAGGTAAAGACCAAGTGAATTCCAAAAGCAAATACAAGAAGCAATGAGTGTCAATTGATATCAGCTGGTCCTGGAGCAATTTATAATACACATAATGAAGATCAGAAATACATATGAATATGTTGAATGGGTACATATAGTCTAGACCCTCTCGTTGTTAAAAGTAAAAGCAGCACAAAGAGCAGAACAACAATTTTTTCACCACTGAATCTTTGTAAAGTGATATTGAACAATTGTAACATTCCCACTGGCAAAAAATAGACCTAATTTAGTGAAAATGCTGGCAGTAATTTTCTAATGGAAAGTATTGAGAAATACTTTTCCAACTGGAGTAAGCAAGTAGCAATTTCATTGTGATGATGACCCAGTAGCTGGTAATCTATTTTCCAGTTCTGGGGCTGTACTTATTCCTTGATGGTGGGAAGAGATTATTTTTCTAAAGAGTCTAATGAAGATGACAGGTCTTAAATTGATTCTTATGCAAGTAAGAGTGGATGAATGAATCTGTTTGTGTTAGAGTACCCCCTTTAGGAGCTATGCGAGTACCATACTCATGTAAGTCCAATTACTCCCACCCCAGGAGGGGCTCTGGGGTGTGTCTTCTAGTAGGCCAGCACTTCCAGCCAAGGCCTCTTGGCTGTTTTGCTCCCTTTTGGGGTCTGTGGTAAAATGACAAAACAGTCTGCGGACAGCAAACAAGGTTAAACAAATGAAAGGAAAAGAAAAACCTGAAGGTAACTCCCTCCAGGATATGGGGCCCTGGATATATCACTGTCCACTTGAAAGTTCACTGGGCTGCAGCACAACTCTGAACTCAGGGAATCTGCAGGCTCAACAGCCTGTTCAGTTCCCAAGGTTTCTGCCATATTTGTCTTTGTTTGAAATCTGAGACTATGATCATCAGCGTCTTCATTCATTTTTAGCCAAGTGTAGTAGGTTTGCGCCGGGGCTCTACTCTCCGGGACAGAAGGGCGCCACACCGACTCGCTACAGCACAGACAGTCAAAGCTCCGGCCCCTTTACGCAGGGGCTGAGCGACCCACAGTTCCGGGAGCTCAGGCCCTCAGGCAGGGCTGAGCAAACAATCAGCTAGCTCAGGCCTTTTGGTGCAGGGGCTGAGCAACAATCAACAGTTTAAAGTAGGCCCAGGCCCTGGATCAGGGCGGGGCACAAACAGTCACAGCTCAGGCCCTTTGGTGCAGGGGCTGAGCAACAATCAGTTACGGGGCTCAGGCCCTCTGGTGCAGGGGCTGAGCAACAATACACTTGGGGGAGACCCAGGTTCCCACCTGAGCGTTGGGTGAGGGGGAAGCCTGCCACCCGTGAGCGGGGATGGCAGGGGGGGGACGCAGGCCCACCCACTCCACTGCGTCCCAGCCCGGGGCCCTAGCAGTGTTTACTGCCGCTGCTGGTCAGTGGGGTGTCCTGACCGAAACACACTGACATCGGCTCACATGTCTCTGCAGCCTGACCGGGGTCGGCTACCCCCGGGCTACTTCCGTGTACCCCCTCGGGGCCTACCTCGTTGGCGACGCCGGGTTCGGGCCAGTCCAGCAGCATCGGGTCCTCTGGTGCAGGGCTTGGGGGCAGGTCCGGCAGCTCTCCAACAGGGTAGCTGGCATGGGGCAGGCTTGGCTCCTCCTCAGGGTAGTGGGCCCGGGGCAGGTTTGGCCAGTCCTCCTCGGGGTACCTGGCGAGGGGTAGGCTCGACTGGCGCGGTGGGGTAGCAGGCGGCCTGCGGCTGTATCCCAAGTGGGAGCTCGGCCCGGGACGTCTGCTCTCTCTGCCGGCCTGGGCTCCACTGAGCTCTGCAGGAGGGCTTTTGTACTTCTGGGTCGGGGCCGTGACCTCGGAGGGGCGGGCGCCGGACCCGGTGGCTCCGCCCACGTTGGGGTTAGGGGAAGTTCGGCCCTATGCGGGACGGAGGGGCGCCACACCGCCTCACTTCACCAAGGATATTTTGTTGTTGTTTTAATCCTTTCACTTGTCTAGTATCCTTAAGGAAACACAGCAAGACTTTTTTTTTCTTCACTATTTCATTGCCCTGATATTCTCATTAGTCCCTTTAGGGAAACATTTTTGATTCCAAACTGGCTCAATTTTTCACAAAGAAACTTTCCTCCCATAAAATATTTCCCACAATTCCATAGAACACGATCAACAGTTTCTTTGGTTTTGCACGCATTACACAGTCCATCTTTATGTCTCTTTAATAAGTTTAGCTTATCATTTAAGGCACAATGATCTGTTAACATTCTAAATAATGGTTACTTAATTTTTTTCTATCATGAGGGTGGAGTGTCATATTATATTCAATTTTTGAGCATACATCATAAAACTTTTGTCCTTTTGTTTTCTCATCTCATAGTTCTGTTCATTCCTTTGCAAGCTCCTTTGTGACCACACTTTAAAATTGTCTACCCAAAAGACTGTTCTCTACCCATGCTGTGAACTTTTGAGCCATCGATAGACTTGGCAAAGATGGCCCTATTTTTCATAAATAAATTCAGAAATTTAATTGGTCATGTGTTTTTTCCTTTCCTCATTTTTTTCATACAATTTCAAATCCAAATGGTTAAATAACTACCCAGCTGTAATTTGATTCCCCATGTCTAATTTTTTTAGTTCTCTCAATTTTTCTTTTTCACATATTTCCTTTACTCCTTTTTGCCCCTGATTCTATGAGGAAGTGGGTAGAAATCCATATAATTTTGTGTATTAAGCTCCCAGAAATGCTCATAAATCTGCTGCGTAGTTCTTTTTTTCATAATTCCATTTTACCTTTGTCTAAAAGCTTAGCTTTAATATTTTCATCCTTAGATGTATAGCTGCTTGTCCCATGGCTATTTGTAGCATGCACACAGGTTTTGTTATCATTGTACTGCATGCTAGTTGCAGAGCTTGGGCCTGAAGTAGTTCCAAGTTTCTAAGAATTAGTTTTGAGGCTGAACCTAAAGCATGGCATCAGTTGTCTAAAACTGATCTTATAAATGATCTATACATCATCACCAGTAGTGCTTTCTTATTTGCACCTCATTTGTTTCCAGCTATACTTTTAAGTCAGTTGATCCTACTTTTACAATGTTGTATGATATTATCTATGTGACCTTTTCATGTTAATTTATTATCAAACACTACTCCTACCAGCATAAACTCTTGAACTATCTGATTTTTTTCACCATAAAGAAGTCCCAGGCTTCCCTAATTTTCTACCTGGTTAAAAATATTCCCTTAGTTTTTGCAAGGGACAATTTAAATCCACAATCATTTATCTTCTTGCAAATTCTCTGTCCTTTCCACAACTACTTTAAAGTCTTCTATGCACAGTCATCTGCAAAAAGGGAAATATCTTTTCTCATCTGCACAGTTTCTTGGAGGTCATTTGTCATAATGCAAAACAAAGTAGGGCTGATAATGCTCCCTTGCGGTGTTCCATTTGTAAGCTTGTAGATTTTTGATAAACCTGTTCCCACTTTGACATGTATAGTTCTGTCACTAAAAAAATCCCTTATCCACCAAAACATTATCCTTTTAGTCCAATTCTGACTGGTTATAAGGCAGGCCTTCACTTCATCACATGTCATATATTTCTTCAATGTCCAGGAAGAGAGTTATTATAAAATTTTCAGTCCTTATGCTTTTTTTGAACCTCAATTTCTAGTCTCATTATATGGTCAACTGTTCATCTTCCTTTTCTGAAACCAATCTGTACCTCAATTATTGTGACAGTCTGTACCCTATGTTCACCCTTTTTATAAGACTATAGTAAATTTTGTACAAAGTGTGCCTTGTGAGGTATCATGGGAAATCTGCTGAGCATTCTTGTCCTTTTAAAATGTATGTGGCAACATTGTATGAGCTTGCATTGTCCAGGTGGGTGCTGGGCAGTATAAGATGAACATTTCTGGGGGGAAATCTGGGACTGGGAGTTTGCTGGTGTCATCCTGTAATGTAATTCATGAGTGGCTGGCTATGACACTCATACAATATAACTGGGAGTGATTTACATGCTGGAGGCTGTGTATGAGCAGACCAGGAGTGGTTGCTCTCACAGTGAAGCAATGTGAAAGGTAACCCAGGTTGGAGAATTGAGAACACAATTGTCCATCTGCCCAGATTGTACCCTGGGTCACAGCCGGCTCCAGGCACCAGCCGAGCAAGCTCGTGCTTGGGGCAGCAGATTCTATGGGGCGGCATTACGCCCAATCCTAAGGCAGCACGGCCACTTTTTTTTTTGTTTTGCCTATCCGGCCGCCCTGTAGGGGGCGGCAGTGCAGAGGAGGGGAGCGCCTCTGGGAGCGGGCTGCACGCTCCATCTGCCCCAGCCGGTGCCAGGTCTGTAGCAAGCCTGGCAGGGCAGCACGCGTCCTTCCCTCCCCACTGACCGGAGCGGTGCGGAGCCCTCCCGACAGGCGGCGCAGCGGTCGGGGCCACGGTGCGAGTGCCCCACCTGAAGCCCTGGCCACCCCTCCCTCTCTCTCTCCCCCTCCTTCCCCCTGCTAGTAGCACAGGGGGTCCGCCTGCACCCTGACTCCGGCCGCGCCACAGGTTTTCCTGCTTTGCTGCTCCAGCCGTGCCGCAGGTTTGGTTTTTTTTTTTTTTGCTTGGGGCAGCAAAAAAGCCAGAGCTGGCCCTGCCCTGGGTAATGTCACAATTATAATATCATTTTTCTCCAAATATTCCACTAGTCTTACATTTATAATTTTTTTCAATGACTTCCCCCACATATGATGGGGGGCAGTAGGCTTATATGCATCAGTTCTTGTATGTTACTTTGCCTGGTTTCCTAACTGCTATCACCAATGCTTTTTTTTTTTTCATTCTATTGGCAACAATACTTTCCCCACATATCATTATGTAATATAATTGTAATGGAATCTTTGGACTCCCTTCTGACAAGTGTTGAACCATTTAATTACTTATATTATCTTTAACTGGAGCTGCATTTTTCCTTTTTCTAATGTCTGCAATAATCTCCGGCTTGCTAAATTTTGTGTTTAACACATCATAAGTATATTCCCTCAAACCATTTAAGAGCTTACTGTTTTCCTCAATAAATCTCTTTTTGTTTTTCCTCATTAAACTCATTGCTTTGATTCATATCACTAATGACTTTTGAAATTCTTTTGCTGAAATGTCTGCCTTTCCGAAGCCTCAGTTTCATTGTTCACAATAAGGCCAGGTATGAGTTTACTTTTACTTCGAATTCCATTAATTCTTTGAATTTGCTTCTATATTTCTGAAAGCTTTGAATCTTTTTTTCAATTACCCCCAGAAATTTCTGGTTCCCATCTCCTCTTCCAAACCTGGCATGATTTAGAGGTGTGGAGGGGTCACTGCAGCCCAAATCAGCTCCTTAACCCCTTCCATTCCAGTGTGAGGCTTATAAACCGCATCACACCACACCATGATAATTATATAATAGCTTGAGATGATCCTTAACTTTGTCTTTGTCCGGTTAAAAATAAGCTATTTTTGGTCCATTGCGTGCAGATCCATTTGGTTCATTTTGTCTCCTGCAGTTATTTGAATGGTGGTATCAAAGGAGCCACTTTTCATCAATAAATCTATTCAAACACAATTAAAAACTCTAATATATCCCAGAGCCAGGACATTAATGTATTTAATAAAACTCCAGGCTTTTTTGTATTTGGGAAGCTAATTTGTCCAAGCACCATAGGGAAGCTCTTTATTAATTTGTTTTTTTTAATATAAAGAAACTAGAAAGCAAAGGTAAATGAAACATTCACCTGCTATCCTGTGGTGAATGAAAATACATGATTGTAACGTATGTAAATGGATGCAAAGGAGATAAAACTGAATTTTTATATTTGTAAACATTATTGTAAAGAACAACATTTATCAAAGGTTTATATATGCTCCCACTTAGGCACTTAGTTCACATGGATATGGCTATATTCTTTTTGCAATCTAAAGATGGGGCTACACTCTACACGGGGCTGCAACTTGAAATCATCTAGATACTGCAGCTGGTAAAGAACCCCGGAGATTAACAGATAGAAGTTAAGGTGTTAGTTCCCTTTTTTTTTACCTCTAAAGGCCTATCTACATGAGAAATCTTCTTTTTCCCTATGTCACACTGACATAGGTAAGATGAGTAGAATGCTTAAGATGAAGTCCCCCAGGGGGCTTTCTCTGTGAGGGCCTGGTGGAATTTCTCCCCCTCCCAGTGGTCCAAAATAACCTGAATCTGATAATGCTCTGGCCATACCACAAACTTCGTTTTTCTCCACAATCCTGCAAAATGTGGGAGTGGGGAGTTTTCTATGGGTGGGGAATTGTTGAAAGTGGATAAGGAGCTATTGAGCTCTTTGGTTTGCTAGTAATGGACTGTACTGAATTGTACTGCGGTATCTTAGCTATGTCTGGATAATAATTCATTGCATTTTAAAGTTTAATCAAGACAAAATAGAGCATATGAAAAGGCACTTTTTACTATGTACACATTTAAATAAATATTTATATAAACACACGTTTCTTTAAGTCTTTTGGCTCAGTAAGTGCACAAGAACCACCTGTCAATACCTTAACATAATGAGAGTTTTTATTATTATTATTATTTGAGGCTCTCATTTTAAGTTATTCACTAAAATTCCATCATTATTATTCCATCATTATGGAGCAGTGTGCATCTTGGAACCTTTTAAAGTTTATGTATCAACCGCCTTGAAGAGTGTGGCTTCACTGAAGTTCCTGCTTGAAATTCCCTGTTATCCCCTGCATATCCCTTGGCAGACCATCATATCAACTAATCTATTTCTTTGTAAGTACCAATTTTTCCTGGGGCCAGGACCTGCAAACACTTACACGAGTAACTTTACTCATGGATTTCAGTGGGATTACTCACATGTGTAAATGCCCTTTGATTTTAGTGGAGGAGGAAGACTGAGTCCTTTATCTGCTGATACTGATATGATAATTCTGCAATATAGACGGTAAAAAAATATCACTAGCACTTCTGAAAGGAATAGAAAAGATACAGTATGAATCTCGTGAATTAGAGGTTAATCAGGTTAATTGTAAAAATCACAAAAGGGAGTTGAAGATAACAAATACAACATAGTCATATAATTAAGTTAGTTATATGAGACCAGAAAATGTCAGTGATTTTTCTGCTCTGAACATTATCATAAAAGCAAGACACTGCAAGATACTTTATTTCCATTGTTAAGCCTTTATAAATTGAATTACTTCTAAGAAACCAGGAAATAAATTTCCTTTCCTTAACAATTTTCCATTTTCCAAGTTTGAAAAAAAAAAAATTAGGGCTGTCAAGCGATAAAAAAAATTAATTGTGATTAATCGTGCAATTAAAAAAATAATTGGGATTAATCGTGCAATTAATAATGCTGTTGAACAATAATAGAATACCATTTATTTAAATAGTTGTGGATGTTTTCTACATTTTCAAATATATTGATTTAAATTGCAACACAGAATACAAAGTGTACAGTGCTCATTTTATATTTATTTTTTATTACAAATATTGGCACTGTAAAAAACAAAAGAAACAGTATTTTTCAATTCACCTAATTCAAGTAGCGCAGTGAAATTTCTTTATCATGAAAGTTGAACTTACAAATGTAGAATGAATTAAAAAAAACCCTGCACTCAGAAATAAAATGTAAAACTTTAGAGCCTACAAGTCCAATCAGCCCTACTTCTTGTTCCAGAGGACATGCGTCCATGCTGTTGACAGATTCTGCTTGATAACGATCCAAAGCAAGTTCATTTTCATCATCTGAGTCAGATGCCACCAACAGAAGGTTGATTTTCTCTTTTGGTGGCTCGAGTTCTGTAGTTTTCGTATCGGAGTGTTGCTCTTTTAAGACTTCTGAAAGCATGTTCCACACCTCATCCCTCTCAGATTTTGATAGGCACTTCAGATTCTTAAATCTTGGGTCAAGTGCTGTAGCTATCTTTTGAAATTTCACATTGGTACCATCTTTGCATTTTGTCAAATTTGAAGTGAAAGTGTTCTTAAAACTAACAACATGTGCTGAATCATCACCCAAGACTGCTATAACATGAAATATATGGCAGAATGCAAGTAAAATAGAGCTGGAGACATAATTCCCCCCCAAGGAGTTCAGTCACAAATTTAATTAATACATTATTTTTTAACGAGCGACATCAGCATGGAAGCATGTCCTCTGGAATGATGGCCGAAGCATGAAGTGGTATATGAATCTCATGCCACATAAATATCTTGAGATGCCAGCTACAACACTGCCATGCAAACTCCTGATCTCATTTTCAGGTGACATTGTAATTAAGATGTGGGCAGCAATATCTCACATAAATGTAAACAAACTTGTTTCTCCTTGTGATTGGCTGAACAAGATGTAGGACTGAGTGAACTTGTAGGCTCTAAAGTTTTACATTGTTTTGTTTTTGAGTACAGTTATGTAACAAAAAAACCTACATTTGTAAGTTGCATTTTCATGATAAAGAGATTGCACTACAGTACTTTTCTGAGGAGAATTGAAAAATACTATTTCTTTTATTTATCATTTTTACAGTGCCAATATTTGTAATAAAATAATATAAAGTGAATACTGTACACTTTGTATTCTGTGTTGTAATTGAAATCAATATATTTTAAAAACGTAGAAAAACATTTAAATACTTAATCAATGGAATACCAATTGAAATTTATTAACAGTGCCATTTAAGTGTAGGCATTTCAGATTCTCAAATCTTGGGTTAAGTGCTGTAGCTATCATTCAAAATTTCACATTGGTATCTTCTTTGCATTTTGTCAAATTTGAAGTGAAAGTGTTCTTAAAATGAACAACATATGCTGAGTCATCATCCGAGACAACTATAACATGAAATATATGGCAGAATGCAAGTAAAATAGAGCTGGAGACATAATTCTCCCCCAAGGAGTTCAGTCACAAATGTAATTAACACATTACTTTGTTAACGAGCTTCATCAGCAGGGAAGGATGTTCTCTGGAATGGTGGCCGAAGAATGATGGGGCATATGAATGTTTAGCATATCTGGCACGTAAATACCTTGCAATGCCAGCTCCAAAAATGCCAGCAAACACCTGTTCTCACTTTCTGGTGACATTTTAAATAAGAACTGGGCAGCAGTATCTCCCATAAATGTAAACAAACTTGTTTGTTTTAGCGATTGGCTGAACGAGAAGTAGGACGGAGTGGACTTGTAGGCTCTAAAATTGCACTTTCATGATAAAGAGATTGTACTACAGTACTAGTATAAGGTGAATTGAAAAATGCTATTTGTTATGTTTATCATTTTTACAGTGCAAATACACTTCTACCCCGATATAATGTGACCCGATATAACGTGAATTCTGATATAATGCGGGGGGGGGGGGCGGGGGGGGCTGTGCACTCCGGCGGATCAAAGCAAGTTCGATATAACACGTTTTCACCTATAACGCGGTAAGATTTTTTGGCTCCCGAGGACAGCGTTATATCGAGGTATTTGTAATAAAAATAATAATATAAGTGAGCAGTGTACACTTTGTAATCTGTGTTGTATTTGAAATCAATATATATGAAAATGTAGAAAAACATCCAAAAATATGTAATACATTTCAATTGGTATTCTATCATTTAACAATTCGATTAAACCTGCGATTAATCGTAATTAATTTTTTTAATCATGATTAAATTTTTTAGTTAATCGCATGAGTTAACTGCGATTAATTGACAGCCCTACTTGTAGCCATTACTATTTTTATGATTCAGTTTTATTACTATGCATATGCAGATCCCTACTTCCATGGGATTATGTTTTTTTGTGTTTTTGTTTTTGGTTGGTTGGTTGGTTGGTGTGATGTTCCCCTCTGGTGTTATCCAGACAGGTGATCTGCTAAGTCACTCCAATCCTTGACTCCGGGAGCCAGCCTGACCCTGCTCTGCTGTGAGGACGCCCACTCCTGGGCTGTTCACACATAGCCTCTGGCATGTAAGCTGCTCCTTGGATTGTGCAACCGAACTATACTAGCCAATATCTCCGGTCCCAGACACTCCCCTAGGAACCTCCGTCTGTCAGTGTCCAGTTATGCCCGCTGGACACTGCAGGCTTATATGAGTTTGTCAATTTAAACATTCTAATTGATATGTACCAGGCTTGTTCTCCCAAGGGGAGTCTCTGACATGCTTCAAACCAAACACACTGCATCAGGTAGAATAAACAACAAAAAATATGAACTATGAGAGAGAGATTGTAAATGATTATAAGTCAAAGCATAACAAGTTAGATTTGGTCAAATGATATAAAAGCAAAATGCATTTGTAATAAATAAAGGGTGGGGGGAGGGGGGAGCTCCCTTTGATGGACACCCAGCCAGCCAGTTAGCTGTAAAATCCCTTCTGGGAGCTGTTCTGTATTTGCTTTAAGTGCAAAGGATTAAAAAGTCCCCGAGGTAAAGAAAAAAAGTGGGCACCTGACCAAAAGAGCCAACGGAAGGTAAAACTTTTTAAAATTGGGAAAGAAACTTTCCCTGTCTGTTCTCTCTGGGCTGAAGCAACGGTTACTATAACATTACCATAACAACAATGCTCAGTACATCATGAGCCTTTTGAAGACACCCAACATGACAAACTTTGCATTAGATACAACACAATCATATTATAAGGATGAACATGGGGGTGCTGGGTGTTCCCTCAAGGTACAGAACGTGACAGTGGGTTGGTTGTTTTTTTTTTTGCCCATTGTGGCAAGGATGGGGTCCTCATTAGAATCAACAAGGGTAACTTCCATGGAAACTGGTCACATGGGATTTCCTGCCCTATGACTGGTTAGATTAAACCAGACAGGTCACAGGGGCTGTCCTGGAAGGTTTGGGTGTGCAAGGAGATGGGGGCAGAAATGGACACTCACCATTTCTTCCTATGCTTAGAAGCCACTTACACCCAACTTCCAATCTTGCTATGGTTCCAAAGTATCAAGGACTCCAGCTTTTTCAAATGTCAGTAGGGACAGAGGCAAGAGCTACAATCTGTGATGGTCCCCTTTCAAAGATGCTAACAGTAGCTCTTGGAAGGAAAAGGATCCATCACCATTATACCTGGAGAGTCTCTAGACCTTGGTCTGGGAACATGAAAGAGCTAAAATAGTGTCTTATTTGTGGCAGGAATTTTCTCTTCCTTTCTAAATTGTCTGTCTGTAGTTACTCTAGAGTCAACAATAAGACTGAAAATAAATTTCCACATATGGCTCAGAAGAAATTGGTTGAATTTGGAGAGGCAACAGGTCCACTTGGGGAAATACTGTTGTCTCAGCTATGGGTTTTCCCTGTGAGTTTGATGTTACGGGAAGCACTGGGAGAATTCCAAGTGATCCACTATTTTTATACACCAAAAAGGAGATATGTAAATGATGGCATCAACCCTGTTCTCTGCAGAGTCAAATATGCCTTCCTTGACTGTGCTGTTTGCATGATTTGGGCAGCTAGGTCCAGTGCTCTGATGGAAAAATGCAAAAATGCATCTGTTTTTGTCTCTTGGGAGGCAAGAGTCCTTGGAAGGTTGCAGGGGTCTTGTGCTAGCAGAGTTGTTAATCTGAGTGAAGGTTTTATATGGTCAAATACAATAAAACTGCAGCCAAAGGCCTTTAAACGAAACCAAGATGGTGTGAGTTTTATTCGCACTGCTTGCAGGTGGCATCAGCAGTGTGCTATGAATAATTTACTGTGGAAATGTCCATTGTAAAGTACATAAGAAGAGACTATTGTTTTCTTCCTACTGTAATTAGAATATAATGTATTATCACTGGATATTGTTGTAAATAAAAAGATGCTGGAGTAGATTCTCACATGCACTAAGCTTGGACTTAACATAGGCGAGAAAAGACTGAAGAAAATATGTATAATTTGAACTGCCATAATCTACATGACAAGATTTGTGTTGTGATATTAACATGCAGTAATATAGTAATATTATAGGTGGGTGTGGCAGTTCAACCTATTATTAAGG